CCATCCATTAAAAAGAACTGATTAATGCTGGCTAATGTTTAGAAAATGAGACCAAGCCCTTTGTCGGTCGAGACTCTCCGCAATTTTCCCATTAGGGAAATGGGTTGATAGAATTCAGAAATGATCGTTCCTGCTGTCTGAAMCAATTTTAACCATAGCGAGCGGAATTACTTATGGCTTAATTATAACACAAAAATCATAGAAGTATTTTTTTTCTAAAGGATCATAATCAATCAGTAGCCGATGTTGCTCTTTGGGATATTTTCTTTTTATATCATTACTTTTAGAAGCTGCATGTGTGAAAACCAATAAGTAAAAACCATGTAAGTTTCAAYGGAAATCTTCAAAGATATGAATTATTCAAATCTACTTATAATTATTTCATGAAGAAATGAAGATTTCATATAACAAAAAAATATCATGAATAAAATGAGAAATCATATCTTTTTATATGGAATTTGCATGATTTTTAGCTTCTAAGCGACCATTCTTTATTCTCAAGGAGCCAGTCATTTTGTCTTAGGGTGAAATCTTTGGGAGGCCATTTTGTAGAAATTAAAGTTTTATTGAAGAAACAAGCGGAGCCTCTTTTTGAAAGTGATCTATCATTGTGATATTAAAAAACGTCTCCTCGGGTGTTTTCAAGCTTTGTTATTGTAGTTTGTTATCATGCTTGGTTCTAAATATATGTTGTTTCTCATTCTAACATATGGCAATGTGATTGTATTTTCGTTTGTCACGCGACTTGAAAATTAACATGGCGGACACCATGACTGCTCATGCGTGAGTACATCTCATTTCGATTTCATTCCTTATACGAAACGTTTGCAGTTATCAGGAAGTTATAAATGGTGTAGACTTAAACTTACAAAGAAAAAAGATATCATATGGATAGATTTAGGGCTGCGGAAATCACACCCGCCCTTTTCAAGATGAATGCTGCTCGATATGTCTTTTTTTCATAATCTATAAATCTTGAAATCTAGAATGGGGGGTGCTTACAATCGTTGCCAAAAAGACCTTGGAACATGGAAATTTTCGTCTCAGCGTAACATTTTTCTCTTTTTTTTATTCTTATTTTTAATACTAATACAATTTTTATTTACATGAGTAAATTGCATTACATCTAATTTTTACAGTAAGATATTGAATAACATAATTATAAAAGAACAGGAAAAAAAATATTTACAAAGAAAACGCACATATGACAGCTATGACTTATATAACTTTGAGAAACAATAAACGTACTAGTGCCAATTATATTACAGTTTATTACAGTTGATTATTACATTTGAATTACATTTTTTTCTTCATTTTTCAATGCCCTTTATAGTGCTCAGGCATAATGTTTTTAGGTTTTTGCAACTTTTATGATTAACTCATATGATTTTTGAAACAATGCAAACATTCCAATATTAGGAATTAGTCCACTTTCTCTTTTTTTTGAATAAAATCAACTTAAATAATAAAATAACAAACTTGTTACGTCATCAACACCTAATATAGTATTGTGTGCATTTGATTCAGGTAGGAGAACATCACCTTTTTTAGCCAATCTCATATTTCAAAATATAGATTTTTGAMTTTAACGCAGTCATTGTGGATGAATGTGGATGAATGTTACAAAAAGAACAAGAGGCATGAGAAATTAACTTAAAACGACAGAGATGTTTATAATCATATACTGAAACATTCGTAGGTATGTATCGATTGTTGTCTTATATATCCTTTCATACACTGWTTTCCAATTAATATTTATATTCTCTCCTGGTGAAATTCTACTGATTAGATTTTTCTGTGATGTTGGTATTTTAAATTTTAGTTGTACTTGTTGCTGGTAAATATCTGCTGTGGTTATTTCTTCCAAAGACATCTTTTTTCGTTTAATATAAGATAATTACCCGTTTTTTTATCTTTGTGATATCGCCATTTTGTTTGAAAAAATTCTTTCATTCTTTTGGAATTGAGTCAACTAAACCTGCCCAGTATAAGAAATCTTTATCCAAAWGACCTAACGATTTTGCATATGTCCACGTAAATTTGCCATTTATATTGCAGAGATCCTCTACTTTGTTAATGTTAAGTTCTGCAAATCTTTTATAATAAACTGAGTTTTTGTTAATTTGTATATCTAACAATTAGATCTCGAGGGCGAGTGGACTACGAGCTGATAGCCCGTGAGGCCTCGTAGTCCACGAGGCCGAGAGATCTAATTGTTTAGCATTACCATACTAGTTGGACAAAAAAGGAATGAAATGTATAAATATTTAAATGGTTTTATTGCTAAAAAAACGCTAAAAGTTGAAAATATTGAAAATAGACCTCGAGTAGCGTAGCCAATCAGAAACGAAGGATTTGTAATGGTCCACTAGTATGGTAATACTAAAATCTGTTATTCCACATATGTTGGTTAGATATACCCAGATTTTTTGTGTTTGTTAGCGCAATCGGTCCAGATGAGTAACATACTTTTGTAAAATGATCATATTTTTTTCCTATATTTTTTCACAGTTCTCTCCTTTAGCCCCATCAATGTTTGGTCTTGTTTGGATAGTTGTGTACTATAGACCTTTCTGAAATATAWAATCAAGGTGCATTGTGGTCTAGCTTCAGCACAAACAACGCCATTTTTTGCAACACGAGCAAAARATGTTTGTACCGAAWCTTGACCACAATGCAATGCAAACTCCTATCTCAGAAAAGTCATATTGTAACATGCTCAACGACAACACTGCATTTAGGGGGGGCAGGGGATTGAAATTGTTTGCGGGTGGTGCTTAAATTGAGGAAATAAAAAAAAGAATGTTCCAAGGATTTTGTTAACAATTGTAGTCACACTAATTGGCCCTCTGGGTCCGATTTTGGTTTAAACTATATTTCTTTATGGAAATAAAACGTTTTATTTAATTTTTTGTATCGTGCTTCTTGACATTTTCTCGAGTGTTTCAAATGACAAGCTCACTCTTTTGGCCAATCAGAGTGCGCGTTAGAAATCATCTATATCTGAATTCACTATAAACGCTTTCATTTCATTAGATCAAGAACAACGACAACAATTTCAAATCCGTAGGAATCGAAAAGTGGTAATASCTCTAAATATAAACATACAAGAAATACATTTCATGGAAAATACGAAAGAATTTCCTCTGACCTACGAACGTGTTCGACTTSGATGCAAGTATTAGTATAGGAAATCGCACGACCTTGAGTACAATTTGGAATTAATAGTCACGAGTAATGTTTTGAAAGTTCTCGTAATTGCACGAGCCCGATAGGGCGAGTGCAATTTGAGAACTTTCAAAACATTACGAGTGACTATTAATTCCAAATTGTACGAGAGGTTGTGCGATTTTTGTTTATAGTACATTCAATTTGCATAAGGAGTACAATTAACGCTGTAATTGTACTCCTCTCGACCAATCAGAATGTATTATTTTGTTGAATGTACTATAAAACAGAAAATTATCAAGTATTCAAACTGGGCAATTGCATGTGCCGTTTACTTCAAGCAATTGTAAGATTCTTAAGTCTTCCGCATGGTTTTTAGAACTAATACTATTGTCAATGATAGACCAATATGCGYAATTTCTTCAGGATGCTTGCTATGAATGACATGATGACGTAATGATTTAGTCATGCGCAATATAGGCCAGGGTTCCTTCCGGGAAGCCCGAGTCATAAAAATCAAAAATTATAATGAAAGAAATTGCTTTCTAATTTTAAAGACCGTGTTATYTTTTCTCATGTTATTTCGAATCAATCTGTAGTTTCAGTACTATATAACTTGTTGTACTTTCTAATCGGCATAAAACGAACGAACTAACGAAGTAACTAAACGAAAGAACTACTCAGAGTACTTAACTCTTGACTGATGGCACCGAAACCTCGAGTTTTCTTGTCGTTATAAATTTTATAGTGAATATTACATAAAAGTTTAATCTTAAAATTCGGGTGTCGTCTTTACTTTAACAATTATTATCTAAAACATTGACCCTAATGTTAATTCTTCAAGATTCAATACAAATCCAAACGTTGCGATTAATAAAAACAAATTAAGTATATGGATAATTTTATTTTGCAGAAATTCAACTAGAAAGTACAAAAAGTTGATTAATTGCTATAACAATTGTTAAAGCTGAACGCTTTCAAATTGTGAGAGCTTCTGCCCATTTGAACCACTCAGCCAATACAGCTGATCACACTCTCTAGAAATCTCTATGACACTCAGTTGCTTTAGCAACAAACTGTCAAGCAACTACTCWTATATGCTTATTTTCTGATACGGGCAATTGTAATTGTCAGCAAAGCTCCAACAAAAATAGCCTTTTCACTTCGCCTTCCAATAGCTTTTTTGCGGTAAACTTGTCGCACGAAAAGTTTTGAGTGCCGAGAAAACAAATCTGTTCAGGCTCCTGTAAGTCCTCAGTTGTTTCTGAGGGAAACGGTCACTTCTGGTTCAGCTGGYTCAATCAGTATTTGGACAGTAATGAGTTTTTGTCTATAATTCATGTTTTATATATATGTGTTATTATAGACAATATGTATTATTTAAACTGACATTTATGTTTCGTTTGCAGAGCTTCAATTTGAGAATCGCTTTTAGTGCATCATTTAGATGGAGTATATTAGGCATTTGTATTATAATCGCATGGTATCTTTTTACAATTTTCAGCATTTATATGCAAATTTCGTTTATGAAAGACTTCGATTAAATTTGTAACCAAATCTGTCACCCAAACACAATAGTACTCAGAGACTTCAAGGCAAATCCTCTAAAAAAGAAAAACTCAAAATCATTGATCATTTAATCCCCGCATGAGCCGGATGTTAAGGCCATTTTCGAGACGCTTTTTTGCTTTTAACTATTGAAATGATTTGTGTATTTTTGTTAGAAAACCCGAGTGTTATTTCTATCTGTTCCCCTCCCCCCTGGGGTGCGTCAGTCCTCAGCTGCGCCAACTTGATTCTTGACAGTCCTTTTCGCGGCGAGAGTGCACAAAGCCACCATCGATAATTTACTTTGTTTTCTTATACTCAGTTCGCTATAAAAAGTTTGTGGAAATGGTTTAGACTGGCTAACATAATAAGTAAGTACATAACTTGGGTAGTCATACATTGAGTTTTGAAATGACTTTTCATGGAAACGTTCAATTTCTTCTTGAATCGGCATCAATTCAGGCTAAAATTGATCAAGACATTTTCAATTTTATGACAGAAATTATTAATAGAGAWTTCAAAATTGTGTAACAATTASAGTAATATGAGTTTTTTGGGATTATTTGTTGAATTTGGGCGAGTTTTTCAAAGGGTTTTTTAATGATTCTCAGCGGGTACAGAGAAAAATATCGATCACAAACAGACCATTTTGACAGGCCTGCGAATTGGTTTATATCGCAAAGTTATTGAGTTAAGTTATTTTCTATCTTCACACATAAGAGACGAACAAACGTCTGTTAATTGCTGTTTCATTTATCAAAAGCTGCTTTGACCAAAAAATCAATAAAAAAAAAATGATTTGATAATGTTGGCGGTTTTTGGAAATGACAGTAAGGTTTCAACTTAATTATCGTAGACTAACTGATCTTTTATATTTCCTCTTTAAATAGATCTATTTATTAAAAGAGAGCGACGAATTTGTGCACAAGTGATGTCAAGAAAATAACCGTCTTCTCAAGATTGATAAAGATGAGAAATTTTGCCATTCTTCTGGTATGCTCGCTGGAAGCCTTTCTTCAACCGCTCCAAGCGAAATATTCCAAGTCTGGGAAATACAAGATTGCTGTTTTGCTTCCGATTACGAAAGGACTTCGTTGCGATCAAATTGAGCCGGCATCTCTCTCGCTTCTTGAAGCTTTTATTTATAAAATGAATAAAATCAACTCGGACCTTGAAGAAAGACTAAATGTAACACTCGATTATTCCATAAGAGATTCATGTTCAAGTCCTCAGATAGCAATCCAAGAGACTCTGAGATTGGTAGCCCGCAACTCATCAGACAATAGATTGGTAGCTGTGGTTGGACCAGTTCTTTTAGAAAATATCATTTTCACTGCTGGAGTACTTCATTTTCACAAAATTCCTCAGGTAAGAAATGCAACTAAGGGTTTATAGAACAAAAAAAATCAAAAAATGAAAAATGGCTATATATTATTTTTCTATTAAGTGTTTCGACAATGATTAGATTTTACCCATTGCATGCGTTAGAGCTTCCTCTCTTAATTTTTTCTTCACTTTTATTTCACTATATTAGATAARAAAAACACTTAGCAATTAAAAATGTCATTGTCCTCCTCAAATAAATGTCTCCTTGCTCTTTAAACTCATTATTGTTCATTGAAAACTCTTTAAATCATCACGTCACAAGATATCTCGACTATCCATACATTTCGGGTTGGAAAAAGCATGACAAAACTTCCCCGGAAATTCAAACAAAAAATATGCCTAAGGGAAATTGCTCCTTTTTGGTAGTTGAAATATAAACTTCCGAATAAATAACATTTGCATTTTATCTATTATTTATTTAAAGCCACTTATAAAGTAACTGTTTCCTTGCTTTTATTGTTACTGGAGTATTTTTTACGTACATATTTATTTGTATATGATGTTTGAGCGAGTCAAGTATTCGACTATTCCTAGTAACTATTAATCTGAGTGACATTTTGAACGATTAGACTAAGATCATCTAATRCTAAGACGCTATTTAGGTGATTTAATTCCAATATTGAAGCGGCTTAACAAATGGTAACTTCCAAACGAGAATTATAGGCAAGTCGTGTTGGGAGATTCTAATGCTATTTTCCTAGAATGCTTTTGAACAAATTTCGCGATCAGAGTCAGTGCTTTTTCATCCTTTTTTGCGTTTGTTTTTTGTTTTTTGCTCAGTTGTTTATTTCATTGCATTTTCGCTGTTAGCTTAAGTAAAACCCCGAGGGAAGAGAAAGGAATGGGATAAAATATTAAATGATTAGATAACTGGATAAACGCTGGAAAAGAAATTTGAATAAATGAATCGATCATAAATAAATGARTGGCATGTGGGAGAGCCAAGAGAACCAGACATAAAAGCAATCAAAGGTTTACTGGAATGAAAAACTGTTTCGCATTTGCAAACGAACTATAGTTAAAAATACAAAACAATTAAAAACAAAATTGCACGTTCGGAACAGCGAAAACACGACCGAGAGTCATTATGGGTATTCAATAATTTTTGAACAATAATATATATTTGTTACCTTTATCATACATTCTAAAATACTTAGGATACTACGCGCGCTGTGATTGGTCGAAAACCATGTTTGATTACAGTATCAAAACACGCTCGCGCGCGTCAAAAATTTCTTTTATTCTTTTAATTTTAGAAAAGAAATAAAAGACGGAATTCCGTGTTTGACACTCTGATCAAAACACTTGGGATGTAGGGAGAGCACTCGAAAAGCTGGAAACCACTCCGCTACGCGTCGTGGTTTCCTACGCTTCTCTCGTGCTCTCCCTACATCCCGCGTGTTTTGATCAGAGTATCAAACACGGAATTTCGTCTTTTATTCCTTAAATTGTCTATGAAATACAGTATTTTTCACCACTACGTAAAGCTGTTATAATAACAYATTCGAGGTTCCTCAATATAATGGAAGTAAAAAAAAATATATTTTACGACATAATTTACTTTCAAATGTAATTACATGATAAAACGAATATTAGATGGTCGCTTGGAGATTTTATTTTCTCGTGTTGAAAATCTCTCACTTGTTCGCTACGCTCAGTCGTGAGAGATCTTTTCAACACTCGACGATAGAATCCGTTTCTCAGCGCACATAAAATCCTCTACATCTGTTCTAAAACAATGGCAAACGAAACACACCATCATCAGTATATCATTCATTTTATGCAAACAACAATAAACTGTGACTAATAAAAGAACATTGCAAGTAAATGCCCTATACAACTTTTGGCCGTATATCGCGCCAATCACCCCGACAACCATTTTTTTTTAAAACTGCTATATATAGCTTGGAAGTGAAATACTTTGCCTCTGGCTTAAATATATAATCAAAACTTAATCAGACGTTTTGCTTGTCTGCTTGAGMCATAGACCTCCATTGATGCTAGAAGTTGCCATAACAACGGTCTATGCTAGTAGGTATTTGTTAGTAGACCAGAGGCAAAGTATTTCATTTTTCACGAAGCATGATGCAATATTCAATTCTCATGTATAAATTAAATATAAATCTATGATGAATCAAAGACAAATCATGAGAATTCATCGATTCCTTCTTCGCATAGATCMATCRCCAAACGACGAGCMGTTTTCTCAGTGGATTTGAWACTTTCCGAGCAGYAAACACAAAATCGAGTATTTTTACTAAKTCATTATCTTTTCCTGATGAAAATGTAAGAAACATTTAACACAAGGCAAGTTCCTATATATATACAAAGCCTAAACAAAAGCTAACAGTCAGTAAAATAAACTACGAGAAACGTTCCAGATTGAAAAAAGAAAAAGAAAAAAAAAAGATAAAACAAAACAAAACAAAACAAATATACATGATTTCTTAATCGGACTAGGGAAAGTATTATGATGATATAGGATATCTGCTGATTAAAACGAATCAWCTATAAAGGGATCGAGTTGAGCAAATGAACTAGCGACTTTTATGCCAAAAAACCCTGCGGCAACAACAAAAACACTTGAAAAATCCCAATGAACTCATTCTTAATGATAAATGAACATTTATTCCGTAAACATGACTAACAGAAAGACAAAAAACTCGCACAGTAGGAAAATAGGCAAAYACCAAAATTTGGAAGGCAAGTGGCGTAACTTAATGGTCTAGACGATGGCTTCATTGATAAGGCGCCGAACCTAAAATCAGCTGCTTCTSAAAACCAAAGCAAACACAATCTCTAGAGATTTTTRTAGTATTATTGTATATATGTGTGAATAAACCAACAAAATTATACTTTTAACTCAAAATCGTTTTTCCAATTGTTAAATTGATTTTCATTATTGGTGGATTAAAACAATTAAGCGTAAAGTGATGAAAAATGCGAAATATGATAAACAYTTATCTATGTTTCTATCAAGCTACCTGGTTTGAGAAAAATATGATTTTGCTGTATGAAAATCTGTTTCAGTGTTTTTTTTTTGGGGGGGGGGRGGGGGAACTTTGAACTGGAAAATGGACAGAATTCAGAGTGCCGTTAACATAGATACCTTTTTTTGCTTGCTCTATTGCCAWTGTATTCTAAAGCCAACGATAATTACTTATTATTATTTATTATTCTCCATACTTTCACTTGACCCGTTCAAGTTTTCAAAATGGCTAAAAATCGGAGAAAGTGCACCATACGTTGACCAACTGCTACTTTATTTGGCTGCGAAGTTCGCCCGTCAAAAGGCAACTAAATCTTATGTCGTTTATAATAAAGGAAATCTTTTATGATGGCTTGTTTGGTTCGAAGTGTTTTTAGTATATGAGTGAATATCGGTCATAAGTTCGAATAATTGGTGCGGCTTTTGGGTCAAAGGTTTTATCTCGCAATATAGTTGTATACCTCACAATGTCAGAGTCATATGCTGAATAACCTTCGTATTAATATTTATTTTTAGACTTTTATCATAAATGCAATTTATGATAATGAATAATAATAACGATAAAGMTAATAATAACAATATTGAAAAAAAATATTTTACAATACTGAATTTTTTATGATAATAATGATAATAATACGAATCAAAATATAAAAGATAATAATATAATAATAATACTGATAATAATAAATAATAGTAACAATATATATGTTTATATATTTTTTATGTTTTTATTATTATTTCTAGATTGTAATTTTATAAGAAAAAATAATTTTAGAACAGAATATTTTTGTCAATAGTTATTTTTTTTATTTATTCTTAAAATAATTGTACTAATCTCTACTTGTAGTATAGTTGTCACCCGAGACTTTTGTGATTGACCAAAACCGAGGTCGCCCGACAAAGTAGGCTAATGTGAAAAAAAAACAGATTCAAAATAGTGATAATTTACAACAATATGTGAAAAATGAATTCAATATTGTTTTATGATCTCCTTTGTTGATAAGGATACACTTTCAATAATACAATATTAACAGCTCTTCCGACATCAAGTGTTTTGGAAAATGTGTGAGGTTCATTAGAAGTATTTTATTTACAACTTCATTCAAACACAATTTAAATGAATTTACTATTTTTAAGGTGAATTATAAAGGGAGAAATGATTTGGGAAACACAAGAAAATGACATATAAAAAATAACATATAAGGATCGTTTCATGTAAAAAACACTCTCGCGCACAAAAAAAACAAAAACAAAAACAAAAATAAAACCAAAAAAAAAACACGAAGTCGTTAATTCGAATAGAACAGATTTTTTTACAATATTTTACTATTTGGGTGAACATTGCTGTAAGATACGAATAATTTCGTTTCTTTTCCGTACTATTTTATTTCTTTCTCAAATTTAAAATATCTTGATCAGCATCCCCAGGACATCCCACAACACCCAAGRTGGCGGCCGTATKGGTGSTTGGGTTTARCACTTCCTGTTTTATATAAGGAATCATACCTTTTGAATGTATAAGGACATACACCCCATGGGAACATTTAGAATGTAATATACAAATTAAAAACAGATCAAATGTTTTAACGCAATGAGAAAATAACCAAAATAAAAAAAAMCTCACCAGAGAAAGCGCAGTTTTATAATGAATAACTAGGAAGTAATATTTTATTTACTTTTCCCAAATCGGCATCTTCCGGAAAGTCAGGTCGAAATAAACTATGAGGGGGCTTTTTTGATCTAATCGAGAAGTGATGGCACGGACGATGTACGTGAAAAATAAAGCAAGCTTCTGACTAAGGCTCACACTACAAGACTGATTGACACGGTACGATTTTCGCGCAGGACTTGTACTATACGATTTTCCTATGGTGTAGGATATTGTRCCGTGGCTCAAAATCCTAAGACATGCCGTAGTGTGAACCAGCAAGAGATAGACGGACGWGGAGACAATGAGTTGAGACGTTTACAATCGTGAACGGAGACGGAAGTGTCAAAGGAAGAATAAAACAAAAACTTTCCATTCGACGTCTTTCACCGCTTCGTCTCCCCCGCCTTCAGCGCTAAATTCGCTAGTAATMATCTTCCTTTAATAAGAACAAGCTATAATTAAAGATAAGGTGTATATATATAGAACAAATTTGCTCGGACGGTAATTCAAATAAAAACATGTTTCGGAAATCAAAGGAGAATTGTCTCAGTGCCGCTTGAAGAGTTCTACAGATCATTAATCAGTGAATCACTGGTTTGGGTCTGTAGGAGGAGCCGCCGACGGGTTCGTGGGAGAAATATGTCCCAGCCACCTGTAAGTCACAACTGGTTGCCAGCGAGAAATTACGKAAAAAAGAACTCTCCAGGCAAAGAATCCAAAAAAGAACTTGCTTTGCCAGGAAAATAAAAATCCCCCCCCCCCCCCCGAAAAAAAAAAAAAAAATATAAGCCTTTTTGACCTAAAAGAAACAAAATTATTTTATAGAAGGAAGGGCGCCGCATTTGCTTGTGACATTGTCAACAATGTTGCACAAAAATCCCTTTGCCATAAAAAAATCGTACAAGAACTGTTATTTAGAAGAACAGACCACGTCGACTCCTCTTGGGTCTGCTCAGTCATCAGTTAAAAGCAAACGAGCGCCAAACTGAAGAATAACTACAGAATAATGAAAACACGAAAAGCTAAGTTTGATTTGCAAAACCAAAATTAATAGGAACTGTAGAAAAGACTTAGAATAATAAAGAATAAACGGAAAAGAGGATTGGAATTAAACATTACATTTTTAATCAACATATAGTTAGTTTGATAAGGAAACTTAAAATGTTACGAAGAATCGTTTTTCGTGAACAACTAGATAGAAACGTCAAGCACAGTGGAAATGATGACAAATTAATATCTCCTGTTTGACATTTTAAGATACAGTCAATCCATTAACGTTGCTCAGTTGAAATGCCATAAAGACAACAAAAAAAACATTTGCATAAAAATTCTTTGAAAATTCCCGCGGGAAGAATTTTTAGTTTACAACTCTAAATCGGCAAGTTTCCCTTGACAAGTTTTCCTTGACAAGGAAAAATTGATCGTGTAAATGGTGTAAAATGGGCAATTTTTCCTTGTCAAGGAAAAGCCAACATGTTCGCTTTTCCTTGACAAGGCAAAATTGTCAAGGACGAAATTTGCACGTGCGTGTAAATGGACAACAAGGAAAATGTAGCAAGGAAAGTTGTCAAGGAAAACTTGTTGACCATTCACACAGGCAATTTTTCCTTGTCAAGGAAAACGTGTTTTCCGTTTACACTAACAAAGAAACATTGTCAAGGAGGAATTTTTGAGGAAAACGTGTTGACCATTTACACGGGCAATTTTTCCTTGTCAAGAAACTTGTCAAGGAAAAATTGCTCGTGTAAATGGCGCTTAAATAAATATCAAATCAAATGATTTTCAAATTGTAATATATTTTTAAGCTTTATGTCGAATATTCATGCAAAAAAATAAAAAATATTTTCAATATAAACATTTAAAATATGATTTATGGAAATGACTTWAWTGTTGTCTTTACATCTTTACAACTGAACGGCGTTAATGGGATTGACTGTGTAAAAGATTGAATTTACTTGATTCGAATAATCATTCTTGATCCGCCTAGATAAATATTTTTATCAAAATGTTACGACTTCTTATTTCCGAAAGCATTTTCTTAGTTGTTCTTATTTCTCGTAACTAGGCAGAATATATGTCATTAATACTCAAAAGAAACACTCATCCGAATGACTCACCAATAGAATTTACATCTGTCGTCTGCTGATAAGGAAAGAAACGGTGTGTATTCAAGGTTTTTAAAAGTAGTTCTACAATCCGTCACTATATGCGCACTTGAGATTGATAAAAAATGTCTCTTAAGTAACTGTTTTAGCGGGATTATACTTTACTCTATAGACGCTATTCAGTCGGGTAGTCCTTTGGCTTTCGTGAAAGGTTGTGCAAAGCTGCACGATGTTACAATATCCAAAAAAGGGAAACTATACCTAATATTCTTTATACCTAGTTGATGATAAATATTCACAGAATATTTTGCCTATTCATGTCTTAGTCATATACGGCCAAAACAAGCAAAAAGATCAATGGAAAGTTTATATTGTCTGCCATTAGAACGATTTTACATAACCGGATAAAAAATGGTAATGAGGATCAATTTATGCTAATACACATTACACAATGAGAAAAGCTTGTATCACATTGTTGTCCATGAGTGCGAAAAAGCCATGGATACCATGAACGCTGTCACTGCAATGTTGGCTAAAACTGTGTAAGGAAAAAATGAACATATACGCGATAAAACCTTGTATTTTTAAGAGCAAAATTACTCGGACTTGACTATTGAACAAACACGATCGCGAATTTAATGTTTGYTATAACAAACAAATRAATAACATATAAATCTGTACGTCAACTATGTAAAGCGTTCATCAAAATCCTTGTTGTTCCACGTGTAAAATCGTGTAGTGTGTATTAGCATAAATTGATCCTCATTACCGTTTTTTATCCGGTTATGTAAAATCGTTCTATTGATGGGTTRATATTGCCATCCCAGTATACCTTTCGGTCGTGCATTTTCAAAAACTTCGAATAGCCTGTCTTAAAATAGCTGTAAATTATAAAACAAAAGTGCAATTGTTGGTCAAGACCAAACGTGCACGACCTCAAAGAAAAAATGGTACATGGAGAGCCTCGTCCTAAGACCACACACTGCCAGCTTTTCTCTTTGATTTTAAAATGGCAGACGTTTTTAAAGGTGTTTGATCAGCGGTCATTTGAAGAAGAGAAGGACTATGAAAGTATCATTGATCATGTTAACAGGTTAAGCAATTTCAAACATTTTAAGCTCATACACTTCCAATATAAATTTTGAGATGCTCCAGCTGCTTTCTTCTATAATTTTTGTACTGAAACTAAATATTTTTGAGAATCGTTAAAAAATGKTGGTTAAGTGGCTGATAATAATATAACTATTCTTGACAAACTCATTTTTTACTGTAACTAACAAAGTATATGTTGTATTTTAGATTGTCTTCACTGGTATGGCTCAAAACCAACCCACATACCCCTCCCTCACGAGTGTGTCACCAACTCTGAGTGACAGCGTCTCAGCAGTGAGCAWGCTCATTTCATCGTTTCACTGGAAGACAGTCAACATCATAGGATCCAATGACATGTATGGACGWATATTTACTTCTTTGCTGTACCAGAATCTGAGAGCAACAAACAACTGTATTTCCAATGAAAAACTTCTCGATGATGTAAACTTACAGAGGCAAGTCCCAAAAGTTATCGCCTCGTTGAAGTCTAATCCTCAAGTCCCTGTAACAGTCCTCGTTGCCAAACCAGATGTAGTCGCAAAAGTACTGGAAGAGGCCCGCCGTCAGAACTTCACCAATCATGTGTGGATAGGTACTGAGCGTTGGACTGCTAGCAAAGACATTGCTGCTTCGTATAGTGATGTGCTAGACGGCAGYCTTGGTACCGGATATTTYAWAGATGCAGACAAAGAATTTGTTGAATWTTTAAGGAAAAAACTGAAAGGACTGACGTACAAAGATTGGACAAAATCACTRTTAGGACKTACCTTGAATACGTCAAGTTTATGCRATAAGCTAGTCCAGTCACGTGACCTACGGTTTGACAAATCAAAGCTTCTAATGGACGCTTTGCAGAATATTGAAAATGCTTTGAAACACGTCCTTAACAATATCTCAGACGARACTAGAGTTAATGTCTCTGCCATCGAAATAAGACAAAGACTAAGGGAGGTTTTAAAAAGSTATTCCAAAAATCGACGCCATAAGTTAAAGATTGTGAATCTTAAGAAAACCCTACCCGGTGACTACCGATTTGTAACTGTTGGAAGTTGGACGAGMAACGACTCAAGGAARGACAATATTGTTATCGACAAACGGGYGCTTCGTTGGCCTGGTGGCGATCGATCAGCTATCCCCGTGTCTGGGCCAGTTAATCCATGCAAACCTGGCACCTATGCGAAAAAGGAACCCATAAGTTGCGRTTGGAAGTGCATCCAGTGCCCCATTGGTACATACTCTGAAAATTTCACCTCTTCTGAATGCAAAAAGTGCCAAAAAGATCATGTTCCAGACAAACTTCAAGCCCGTTGTATTATTGCCGAGGAAGAGTTCATACGAGTTTTTGGTGTACACGGTATTTGTATCATGTCGGCTAGTGCTGTGGGGTTTGTGATCACCATTTTAGTCTTGTGCATTTTCTTAAAGTATCATAATACACCGGTTATTAAGGCATCCAACAAGGTGTTCTGTATATTTACGCTTGTTCTACTTCTGGTTTGGTTCCTCTCTTCGATTCTATTCCTTGGGGAACCAAAGGACTGGACSTGCAAACTCAGGACAGTKGCAGTACCCCTCATCTAYACATCRGTCAGCGCTCTTCTAATTACRAAGACCAAAAGATTGATACGAATCTTCTCRACGTTAACACGCAATCGGTTCTTGAGCAATTATTGGTACAGCTTTTTGGCATGTTCCATTGTTCTTGTCCAAGCCATCTTCTCTGCTGTATATTTGGTATTCTTCCCACCAAAACCAATCGTGGTTTACCATCACGACTCCCGAGTGTCGAGTCATTGTTCAAGGAATCTTGGCCTTGAGATTGCCTCATTCAGTTATAACTGTTTATTGGCATTCTCATGTACTTCATTAGCAGTCAAGTCAAGRAAACTACCCGAGACGTACTCMGAGGCTAACCACATTTGTTTGACAATGCTTGCGTATATGCTCTCKTGGATGGTCTACTTCTTTGGWTACTATGGGATACCKCAGGGTGAACTAAAAGCTGCTGTACCGATATTTGGCGTSATCGTAGGCGCATAYGCTGTGTTATTATTCATCTTCGTCCCTAAAATGCGAGTCATTTTATTTCTCCCCGAGAAGAACACAAAGAAAGCAGCCCTGGCTGCTACAAGGAAATACTCTATCGATGTTGCCTGTGGAATTCAGCTGAGTATCTCTAAATCATCYAGAGCGTGYGAGCGACGYCAYACCCTGGCAACCTTACCGACATATCACGAGGCAGGGATGTCATCACCGACAAGTCTAGATCGAAACGCAAACGCAGTAAGCTCAAGGTTTTCTSCCGAAAGTCTTAGGGAGGCAATWCGAGAGGCTGACGATGCTGSAGAGGAAGAATCCGTCAACATAGACGTTAGGAATTCTTTCAGTATACCGTTGGACAACGGAGTAACTATCAAAAACATGACTTTTTTAACTCCAAATGGATTGGCTTAAGTGTCGATTTACATTTACGTAATAATCTTTGACGTAAATAATGGTCATTCATGGCGCGCTTACATGTGGAGAGGACATGTGAACACTCTGTTAAATACAGTGGCTTACAATTTTTATCTACAAAGCGTGTACGAGTGGAAAGGATCGACATGTTATTGGATTCATGCTTGATGAATGGATCATTTATACTGGTATGCTTGCTTGAATAACTCGTTAATATGATTCGCCAGCACAGACGAAATTGGATACAAAAAGCATTGAAAATCTGGTAATAAAAATGAATTCACCTTCACATAAACATTGATGATAATGATGATTCCGGATAATCCTCCTCACAGAACTAATGATATCATTCATTCTACAAATATGATTACTGCTATGAAACTAAACATGTTTTATTAAGCTAAAGTGGTCCCAGTGGCCACGGATGACTGCATCTATCCAAGAATGGGGATGTCAAGATCTTTCAAGTATCCACAAATCAGATGGTCATACAATCCCAGGCAGTCGATCTCTCATTCCCGAACTCTGCAACTCAGATCTCCTTTGCCACTTTTCTTGTAGCTGCAGCAGCATGTTCYCAATTCAAGTCAAACARCAACCATCTTWAGCTATCCGATCCAGCACACKGCATGGTTCATTCTGTGTAGCTTCAACGCTCCAGCGTCCCATCCAACTTCAAAATGTCCACATCCTCTTCAATTCTCACCTAATCTTAGCATCTCCACCAATCACGTAACTTYACGTCATACTTCTTACACAATTCCCAAGGAACTTCGTGTAGTCTGATCGATTTATTTATTTATACACTATATAGATACCATAACGTCTATTTTTCTTTTTCTCTTTGGTAGCGGAAACACTTTTATAAACAGGCGTATTTCAACTCAAATCAGATCGAAATACTGTAAATAAGCGACGATACATGTGGCATAAATAAGTTTCARCGAATTACAACCGAATTATAGGGAAATATTGATCAGATTTCGTGCGAATACTGAAATCTAATTAAAAATTATTAACGTGTTGATTTCTCTCGTTCTACTAATAACAGYGAAGAAAAAGATATTCAAAAATGACATTCAAAATATACATATAATAATTGAAACCAATCAAGGTATATATAAATTCAATAAGAGAACTCGATCAATAAATGTAAAGAAAAACAGACCTCTTGTCATATTTATTACCTGGATTTATATAAAATGGAACAAGTTAGTATGGCGTGGCGTCACAAGTATAACATAACGTCAATTAGTGACGTATAATATATAAAATCATTCAAGCTGATTTTAGTCTGGTGTTTGCAAAGAGAAGTTGCCCACTGTAACAACAGAAGTCCGCCGCATATTTCTTGCAGCAGTGCTTTGCGCACCRTTTTTRTCTCTCATTGTGTACACAAAAGTTCTTGCTCTTATAATCTCTGTTCTGTTTTCCTCGGGATGGAATAAAATGATCCTTAAGCGATTAAAGAACATACAKATGAGAGCACTGAGRCCCGTGACAATTATACAGCAGCAAAGAAAGACGTACTTAATGGCKGGGCCTGTGCCGTAGTATAGCGGAATGTATGTTAGCCAAATAATACAAAATGTAAACATCGAGAAGCCAATGTAACGAGTCTCGTTAAAGTTCTCCGGYAAATTACGYGCCTTGTAAGCTAAGAACGTCGTTATTATTGCYAATACMGCARTRTATCCCAAAGTTATTATAAGTAACTTATCTGATTGGTTACCACAGTCGATTATCACGTGACTATCTGYATAATGATACGTCACTTCCGGTGGATATACAAAGACCCATGCAAGGGCTGTTATGATGATYAGCAATGTTAGAATAATCGCTAGGACAAGTTGAAATCGAATTCCAAGGAYTCTGTCTCTCACTGGAATTCGTTTGCTTTTGAAAATAAGCAGCARACGGTTTGTTTTGGTCAGCATCAATGATGTCCARAATGTAATCACAAAGGCAAAACAAAATGGCCTTATTTGGCAAATGACGTAGGTTGGTTTYCCAATGTATAATGYTGTTAAGGAGAACATCAATGCAATAATAATGAGCATTAGGAAGGTGAACTCACGTGTCGAGGCCTTGACGATAGCGGTATCACTGAACTTTAAATAAACACAGAGAACAATGGCTGTCGTTACCAAGCCAACCGCTGAAAAGTTTAATATCACAATTGCAGTCACCTCACCCCATTGTAGATACAACATAGGTAACTCGAGACACCTTGAGTGGGTGTGGTCGGAAGTGTACCCCTTTTCACAAGAGATGCACTCACCTTTACCCGTTTTGTTTTTGATATAGCCCATTGGACATTGAACGCACGTCCAGCAACATGTTGAGCCCCCCTGAACCGGATACTCCCCCTGACTACATGGCACACTGCACCGAGATACAGGTTTCKTTCTCTCGCCAGAATTCCAAGTGATATTATCGACGTTGATGACAAGTCTGCTGTCGATCCAACGCCAGAATCCAATAGAAACGAATTGCTTGTTGTATGGTTGGGTGTTGTTTGGCTGAAGGCTTTTAATTAGGTAGTTCCCTAAAATGAAAATTCAAATTTGAATTCGTTGGTTGATTAAGAGGCTCTGCTCAATAATTCTGGGATTTTTTCATGCAATAGACCTAATCGGCTAACGCGATGCCATGTATTTTACCACCCGATTCAAATCCTGTGGGAAAAAAGAACTTTTGTTTCTAAGAACCATTCTGTGAGATGGACATACAATGAACAATGAAACGTACTCCCGGGTGGATTGAATAGGGATATAACGTTTCTAGAGCAACGTGTTAACCGATTATGTCTATTATTTTATATGGAAAGTTGACGTCTGTGATCAGTCTGATGGGAGCACTTTTAAACATTTGCTATTCAAGGGCGAATGGACCCTACAGTTAGATAGTGTAGTCAATTGCTGTAGTATTTACAAAAATAGATCAAAACATTTGGCTTCTAATCAAAATAATGATATAAAAGGAATGTAAAGTGAGCAAAAATTCAGTAGTTATGATGCAGTTTTTTTACATTTCAAATCCTTTTATATGACAAAAACTGCACCATGACTAGTGAATTTGAATGAATTATCAGTGTATTATCTAAATTCAGATTTCCGTTAGTTAGTGTTTAATCAGGCTCAACCTCTGCTTCACATCAATCAAACATAGCAGCACCTAAACCAATAAAAACGGAACTAGCTAATTTACTACCACATACATCGACAGTAAATATTGACACTCAATTGGATTTCCTGGAAACAGTCACAGGACATTGTGTTTAAGTCTGAAGAAACGGATTTGTTTTCACCGATATGAATTTAATGGGAACAAAAAAATGAATTTTCTTGCCGTGACAGTGCTAGAATTTGACACTACGCTTCAAAGAAAAGTACGTTAAGTTGTCCACAAGTCCAAGTCCCCCGTCGAGGCATAGAAGTTTAGAGCTTGAATTAGCTTTTGGTTAAGTAGTCTCTAGTGATACATATGTCGAACTATACACTACAGTTAAATTTATTAGCTTTGCCCCTAGTATGGGCAGGGACACCGCACCAGCGTGAGCCAATTACTGCGGTCCCTGTACTCTCACACTCACTACCTCTACATTAAGTATTTTAGCACACAACACTCCTCACATGTTGATTTTTGCTGAGGGAGGAAAACCGGAGGACCCGGAGAAAAACCCTTAATTGTGGCAAGGGAGAGAACAACACATCAAACAAACTCAAACTCACATATGGTCCGTGCCCGGGAATCGAACCCGGACCACAGCGGTGAGAGGCCAGTAGCTTAACCACTAGGCCACCCATGCCACAGTGTCCACAATACTTCAGATTTACGACTCTTCCTTTTATCCTTAAGAGAAATATTTCAGCAACATCTTGGAATTAGACAATTATTAAAGAATCACAAAACGAACGGTCTCTTACCTACTTAGTACTATGCTCTTAYTCGAAACAAGAATAGGCTGCCAACCGAGGTCGACTACTAAACAACCAGCTACTGAGAAATATTTTTGAGGTCTGGTATTCATCAGTAATGCAGTACCAATTGAAACCTGCTTTTTGATTGCTCCTTAAGTACAGCACCACTATTGTTAGGTTAGGTTTTGTTATATTGTTGGAAGACTTATCTATTGTTTGTYHWTTGTTTTCTCAACCTATCATGAGACCCGTTCCGAGCGGTGCTACCTGGCTCATTCATTTCGACACCAGCCAATCAAAGCGCGCGATATATCCCAAATATTTTATATTCATTAATGCTAGATTGTAATTTACCTTTRGTGTCACCATGCTTGTCAAACTTGATTGGATAGCCAAGCGTACCCGTRAAGTCCGATTGTTTGATATAAGCCAACAGATCCCGAGGGACAATCTTCGAGCCCGAACATGATCCCGCAACACCGGAAGTGCAATTAAGCATCTTGTGCAGYGCCAGTGCAWTAGCATACACGCTGTCCATGACGTTAGGGGACTTATTAAGCTGGAGCTTCCCTGCGTTTGGCAATAGGGGACTCTTGTACCCAGGACATTTCCAAATTTGAAGGTCATAGCTACGAWRTGATTCATTGRTWCTTTGTGGGAGATTTTCTGATGTTTTATAACAACTGTACTTGCCTTTCCAAAAGTCTTYAAACCACGGGTTATGTTCAGTATTATTGGGAGTCAAACTAGACATATGGCTTGCAAACTGCTGAATGTCACCCTTCCATGGGACTACACCTAGCATCCCTCCGATGGTAGAACCCTTGAAGGGTGAGAGGCYATCGATATTGTCGCCCCAGGACTCTGGKGCTATCCACGTCTTTCCTTTAAGACCTTGACGCTCTGCTTCTTCCAAAACGGCAAACGCATTAGGTCCCTCACAAAATAAAACTACCACTTTTGCTTTATTATCAGCCTTTARTTTTTGCACTATATATTTGATCTTTGCTTTGGTCGAAGGCTGGTTGTTGTCGTGATGAAACAATTCATCGACAGAAATACAAATATTTCTCATTTTGAACTCTTTTTTCAAAGCCTCGATCCCTAGTCTRCCATAGTCYTCATCGGTAGCGATAGTCGAAACGTAAGTCCATTCATAATGAGAGATAAGATCTGCCATTACCTGAGCTTGTATGTAGTCRGGTGGWATGGTTCTCAAGAAGGACGGGAAGTTATACTTGTCACTCAATGAAGGACTCGTTGAGGAATAGCTAATTTGAGGGACATTGTCCACACTAAGAATGTAGTTAATAGCTTTGGAGATCTTAGATCCTGCGCCACCTACCACGGCTACCACTGACGTTGTCTTCGTCTCATTTGTACACAAACAGTTATTAWTARTGCTTTTCATTGAAGAGTTCGCTTCTTTAAGCACGATGAAGTCCAAGGCGCATTTGGTGGCATAATTAACATCATTTGCTGTATCTCTGATATCATACCCAAGTGTAACACCGGGAAGAATGTCATCTCGCGAATTAATCGCAYTAATAGCAAARAGSATCGCTTCAACCCACATGACAGCTCTGTAGTTCAGTTTCTTGCACTGTGGCTCACCCCTTGCCATTTCTAACATGATGTAATCCGCGCTTCCTGTGGAACACTTCTTTGCGTTTTTCTCAGTCAAACGTAGAGGGAAAAGCCCACCAATTATAACATCAGCATTTAATTGTACTGCTCGTTTAGGTTTTTGAAGTRATTCGCGACATTTCGTAGTATTTGTAGAATTWGTCCCCAAAATCGGATGATTGCAAGAGCTAATAAGCATGACGAAAAATATCATAACCAAATCCATATCAAGAGGCAGAAATCCTCATCGAAGGGAGAATTTTCGTAGGTCGATCAAGAATTTATCTCRACTCACCAACTTGTSAAGGGTCTTTGTCTAGAATATGAAAACAGAACATTAAGCAATTCATTGTGACCAAAAGCAAATCGTCTCGAGTCACGTGGGATCAGTTAAAGGGCAGCTGAATTTACAAGACGTTTTCAGAAAAGCCAAACAAMGCACACAAACTCAATTTTTGATTATAAAACACTAATCCAGTGTACTTATTATTGCTTCCAATGAATTACACATATTATTGGATTCCCGGCTGTAATTTTGTATTAGTTTGAATGTTTTTGTATGCGAAAAGGTGGCAGATAATTACTTGCTTATATAAACTATCTGATTTTTCCTCTTTTGGAGGTGGCACTCACTAGGGCAACTAAAAATACACAACATATAGCTCTTCCTGTTATAGCGTTGAAACTATATAATTTCAACATAATAGTGACACAGACTGAGTGGAATATAGAAAATTGAGTAGTACTTCAAGGAATATTAAAGCGTAGCGTTCTTGATGGAATTGCGCTTTAAGACGTGGAGATGAGTGAACTATAATTTGGGTTTCTCAAAGTAAACAAACATATGTATCAGAGGAAATTGATCTGCAAAGATGAATGCTTCTATTCTATTTAAAATCGATATTCTTTAACGTTTCTGTCAGTTTCTATCAACACATGACGAAGAAGCGATGACTGGAGGAATAAATGCTCCTAAAAACCTCAGTGGTTTGTATCATAGATATAAAATGTATTGGCATCGATACTGATAGAAAAATATCAAAAATATCAAAAAATAAAATCACTATTACAAGAAATGACTCCAGCTAAATGTTTTTTAAGTAAAGTTGCTAATTATTTTTTAGGTATGGTTTTATTAGCTGCTTTTTTCAAGCATTGTTGCCGTTAATTAAAATAATTGAARTGCGCTCATGTTAGTATTTTAAAGTTAATCGCTCCTTAGATTTCGTGTGGATTTTATTTCTTGGATAAGGATTTATCCGATGAATAGTGCAATTCATCAGCGTCTCAATACCTTTCCCTGGTTCAAATATACAATGATGCAAAAAGCAAAATTTAAAAGCCGGAAAAAAAAGCGCGAAGGAGCTGATGGACTCAAACAGAGTAGGATTGGCATGAKACATTAATATAGCATTCTTTAAGACAAGCATAAGACCAAAGTTTAAGCCGAAGTAAACGCAATTAAAAATGAAAAGATCACGTAAGACACTCGTATACTTTTGTCTCTTGAAGCCACTTAGGAAAATTTGCTGTGCTCGTATACTGAAAACCAGGTTTAAAGCTAAGTGCGAATGCTTTTCGAYGGCTTTCTGTGAGTGTTCTTGACAATTTCTAAGTGCTCTTTAAAAAGCCCGGCCAGCAGGCAGGTTTTAATTTTAATCCCGTTCAGTTTTTCCGAGTTCACAAAAGCTATCACAAATAGGTAAAACGAGATGAACATGCAAGACTCCTATGTGCTGTGATATAAACCACATACCCACTACAGCTATTTCAATGTGAATAGGTGATTGATTGGTATCACTAACTTTTGTAATACAAATATTATTTTGAACTGCCTAATCCCTTGATATGAAAAGGAAAAAAGGATTGCTTAGTACCGGTGCTGTCTTTGAATCTATTGGATTCACTTTTCCCGCCGGTTGATACTTCATGGCAGTCAATTATGAATGCTTTGATATATCTGATCGCTGTCAGATTCAACATTAAAAAGACTGCTAAGAGAYTTAATATAATGTCTATTAATGTTCACAATGGTTAATCAAATGAAGCGTCCTAATTGTCAGTAAGAAATAGAGGATATTACATGGGCGCGCGGAGATACGGATTTTATCTTCGAGTGTTGAAAAGATCTCTCTTTCTCCCACTATATAGAGAAACCTCGAATATGTTTTTTTCACTAGTGAAAATATCAATTTTACGAAGAAATTTTATAGAGAAATATAGGTATTTCATAGATAATTATATGATAAAGTCTTTTACTAGTGGAAATAACACATTCGAGGTTTCTCCCTATATTGGAAGTAAGAAAAAAGGCATTTTACGACATAATTTGCTTCCATATGTAATTATATGATAAAACGAATATTAGATGGTCGCTTGGAGATTTTATTTTCTCGTATCTCCGCGCGCCCATGTAATATCCTCTATTTATCTTTTTATGTTTTACTAATCTTTGTAAGCACAATGAATATATAGAAAGATTTCTAGAAAATATGTTATATATACGAAGAGTGCGTAAGCACGAAACTGGGAGTAACAACAAATCCTGCCTCTTCGTTACCATATATATACTTAGGTACCCCTACACTATATGTGTATCGAGCACTTTTTAATGGGATCAGGTGTTTCCTTATATGATTAGAAAATATCTTATAAATAATAAAGTACATTTATCTGTCTGCCGCATTAAAGTAAATAAAAATAAGCCCCGCAAAAATTCTCTTTCCAACTTGCTGCCACCTCTTAACTACTAGAACAAAATGAAATGATCAACAGAAATTTTCACTTTTAACTGAAGCCTTCGTTCCTTTTTTATTTACTACAACAGGTTAGTCGGCCAGTCTGGAATTTACAATCGTTGCCAAAATACCYWKGGCCATAGMATAAACYGGTGGGAACTAGCGGWAAACTAGTGTGGTTGAGCTGCGTCGGTTTTTCTTAAGAAACAGTTTTGTAAAAAGATAAATTTAACACCGTAAAAAAGKATGTGAAATWACTTACTGACGTTTCGGACGTTAATCSTTCGTTAAATTTATCTTTTTACACGTCAACTGTTTCATAGAATAAACTGMCAGCACCCACCCTCCTTCCTTTGTACAGTGTTGGCTCTTGGTTTAGATTGTCATTTGTTTTCTGATARCATGCTTCAGTAATGACAATATTRCAGCTGTKGCGGAGGCGGAGGGGACACGTATTTRTTAGKYAGCGTTGCTCGAAATAAGGAAATTCACTTTAATGGCCCMAGCATTTTGGCGATGGTTATGGYCATGACTTGACTTTGATAGCAAAATTGCATTGTCTTCATACGAGAAGTTCTTTTTAATCGTTGATCTTCAGCCTTCAGAAAGCTTCGCAGCTTGTTTTTTGATGATGGTTTTTTTCCACAGTCAAGTCTCACCTGCTTGTGAAACGCCTTTTTGCATAACTTGATGTGTCTATTGTACCCGCTATTGTAGTTTACATTGAAAGCTTTCAAAAGCACAATCGAGAAGAGTGAAATGATCGACTGCTTCACTAACAACAGAGTGACTTTCCATTATCAGCATGGCATTTCATTTACACTGAATTACAGCTAATTGCTTACCAAAGCTACATTGAAATTATACTAAGACGTAGACAATGCGAACTAGACGAACCACTTAAATTTCTCACGGTTTCTCCCACACACACCATCAAAGCATCAACAGGCGGTGAAAAGTAACATAATAATTACATTCTAACCTAAAAAGCTTCAGAAAAAAAGTAACATAATAATTACATTCTAACCTAAAAAGCTCCAGAAAAAAAGTAACATAAGAATTACATTCTAACCTAAAAAGCTTCAGAAAAAGGATCAATATTTCGTGATGACAAAACAGATCATTAGCCTCATATAAGATATTTAGTATTGTCTGCCAGAGAGATGTTAGACAAACATGACTGATATATGTTCGCATGCAAAGATTTCAGCACTGCTGGCCCCACACAAATAATTAATAGTAGCTGGGAAGTCAAGTTAAAGCTTTAATTTGTTGTCAAAATGGAGTACATTTTTCAATAACACTAAATGGCAATATAATTTAGATGTTTGATTTGTTTGTGATCTTATTTTATGGCAAAAAAATAAATAAATAAATAAATAAATAAACAAAATTGTATCGATAAAAGTCTCATGTTATAGCGATGAGTCATAGTTTTCGCAAGTGCCTTTTTAGGAATTAATTTTGTTACCTTTTGTAGGTTTTGTCAAACGTTTTGCCCTTTCATTCTAACAAGAAGTTTGATCAAGATTATCACAACTGTGCTTTAAAAATGTTTCCTTTACTAAAGTAAGATATAGTAGATACTGTATATTAGTATCCACTATGGACTATCACAAATCCAGCATTTTGATTGGCTACTGAACTATGGCCTATTCATGATAGGCCGCAGTGGCATCGAATGGTCATGAAAACAAAATAATTATAGAAACAATATCGAGAAAAATTGTTCATTATGATTTTTTTATTTACTCCATAGTTTGGTGGATAAAATTAGATCTACGTCCGAAAGGACTCTATCAACTCATAGTCCACTAGACTATTTCACTTACAAAACTTTTGGCCGTTAAGCATATAGCATGGTATCAGGTGCATCATGGGTACTTTCTTATTATTTCTTTTTTCCATTTCTATTTACAGTACGATTGGGAAATAATTTCATTCTTTCAGCATTCGAAATTATGTCTATTTATATAGGGTTATTTAAACATACCCTGAAGATACTTTGATAAGGTTATATATTTATGCATACAGCAATTTACAATAATTTTAACCCCTTCAGCCGCATTTCAAATATATACTTGCTTAAGACGTAAGCTGGAAGTGAATTAAAAAAAAAAAAACCCAGAAAACAAAGGAATGGAAACGACTCTTAAAAGATCCCTGGAGGATTTAAGATGCGGCAACTATTAAAGAATTCAATTCACTTGAATTCAAGAAAAAWTGCTTGTCTGTAGAAAAAGGACATAATCAGTCTTGYTTCTTCGCCAATTCCTAAGTTACTTCCGGTTTATGTCAAAAGCATATATCAAAATCTACAAAATGACTTTCGAAATCATCGTCGCTGGTATATTTTTTTTAGTACGAGCATTTTTTCCTAAAAAGAAACATCTCATCCACATTCTGAGAGGCTGCTTTAATATATATGAAAATTGGGCAAAGGGGCGTTAGAATTATTGCAAATAGCTGTATGTGACGTAATAGCGGAAGGACTGTCTTAATGGCAAYAGCTATACATACATACGTGATTACTGCTTTACTTCTAACTTGCCAGATTTGATAGTCAGACA